GGTGCAAGGCAAGTACCTCTGCTCCGAGTGCGAGGATCTGCTGCGGAGGCCCTTCCAGGCCCAGTGCGGCCACCGCTACTGCGCCTACTGCCTGAAGAAGCTGGTGGGGTGAGTATTTGGGGGGGTCCAGGACCAAGGATACCAAAGTAGTAGTAGTAGTAGTAGTAGTAGTAGTAGTAAGTAGTAGTAGTAAGTAGTAGTAGTAGTAATAAAAATAATAATAAGAATAGTAGTAGTAGTAAGTAGTAGTAATAAAAATAAGAAGAAGAAGAGTAGTAGTAGTAATAAGTAGTAGTAATAAAAATAATAGTAGTAGTAGTAAGTAGTAGTAATAAGAAGAAGAAGAGTAGTAGTAAGTAGTAAGTAGTAAGTAGTAGTAATAAAAATAAGAAGAAGAAGAGTAGTAGTAGTAGTAGTAAGTAGTAGTAATAAAAATAATAGTAGTAGTAAGTAGTAGTAATAAGAATAAGAAGAAGAAGAGTAGTAGTAAGTAGTAAGTAGTAGTAGTAATAATAAGAATAATAAGAATAAGAGTAGTAGTAGTAGTAGTAAGTAGTAGTAGTAATAATAATAAGAATAAGAATAAGAATAAGAAGAGTAGTAGTAGTAGTAAGTAGTAGCAGTAATAATAAAAATAAGAAGAAGAATAGTAGTGGTAGTAACAACAACAAACAACAACAGGAAGAAGAGGAGGAGGAGTAACAACAAGAAGAACAACAAGAAGAAGAACAACAATAGTAAGAAGGAGGATGAGGATGAGGATAAGGGTAGTAGTAGTAGTAGTAACAACAACAACAACAACAACAACAACAACAACAACAACAACAACAACAACAAACAATAGGAAGAGGAGGAGGAACAATAGTATTAATATTAATAATAAGAGTAGTAGTAGTAAGAGGAGGAGGAGGAGGAGAGGAGGAGGAGGATAAGGGTGGTAGTAGTAGTAGTAACAACAACAACAACAGGAAGAAGAGGAAGAGGAGGAGGAGGAGGAGTAACAACAAGAACAACAACAAGAAGAACAACAACAACAATAGTAAGGAGGAGGAGGAGGATAGTAGTAGTAGTAGTAACAACAACAACAACAACAACAACAACAACAACAACAACAACAACAACAACAACAACAACAACATAATAGGAGGAGGAGGGACAATAGCATTAATATTAATAATAAGAGTAGTAGTAGTAAGAGGAGGAGGAGAAGAGGAGGAGGAGGATAAGGGTGGTAGTAGTAGTAGTAACAACAACAACAACAACAACAACAACAACAACAACAACAACACAATAGGAAGAGGAGGAGGAACAATAGTATTAATATTAATAATAAGAGTAGTAGTAGTAAGAGGAGGAGGAGGAGAAGAGGAGGAGGAGGATAAGGGTGGTAGTAGTAGTAGTAACAACAACAACAACAACAACAGGAAGAAGAGGAAGAAGAGGAGGAGGAGGAGTAACAACAAGAAGAACAACAACAAGAAGAACAACAACAACAATAGTAAGGAGGAGGAGGAGGATAGTAGTAGTAGTAGTAACAACAACAAGAACAACAACAACAAGAAGAACAACAACAACAACATAATAGGAGGAGGAGGGACAATAGCATTAATATTAATAATAAGAGTAGTAGTAGTAACAGGAGGAGGAGGAGGAGGAGGAGGAGGAGGAGGAGGAGGAGGAGGAGGAGGAGGAGAAGAAGAAGAGGAGGAGAAGAAGAAGAAGAAGAAGAAGAAGAAGAAGAAGAAGAGGAGGAGGAGGAGGAGGAGGAGGAGGAGTAATAGTAGTAACAACAACAACAGGAAGAGGAAGAAGAAGAGGAGGAGGAGTAACAACAACAAGAACAACAATAGTGAGGAGGAGGAGGATAGTAGTAGTAGTAGTAGTAGTAGTAAAAACAACAACAACAACAACAACACAATAGGAGGAGGAGGAGGAATAGTATTAATATTAGGAGGAGGAGGAGGAGGAGGAGGAACAGTATTAATATTAACAATAAGAGTAGTAGTAGTAGTAACAACAACGACAACAACGACAACAACAACAACAACATAATAGGAGGAGGAGGGACAATAGCATTAATATTAATAATAAGAGTAGTAGTAGTAACAGGAGGAGGAGGAGGAGGAGGAGGAGGAGGAGGAGGAGGAGGAGGAGAAGAAGAAGAAGAAGAAGAAGAAGAAGAAGAAGAAGAAGAAGAAGAAGAAGAGTAATAGTAGTAACAACAACAACAACAACAACAGGAAGAGGAAGAAGAAGAGGAGGAGGAGTAACAACAACAAGAACAACAATAGTGAGGAGGAGGAGGATAGTAGTAGTAGTAGTAGTAAAAACAACAACAACAACAACACAATAGGAGGAGGAGGAGGAATAGTATTAATATTAGGAGGAGGAGGAGGAGGAGGAGGAGGAGGAGGAGGAGGAGGAGGAGGAACAGTATTAATATTAATAATAAGAGTAGTAGTAGTAACAACAACAACAACAACAACAGGAAGAAGAAGAA